CAACTCAAATGCATTGATTTTTCTTGTCACACTTATTCATTGTCCAGCTCTCAGATGCATATCAACTTATTGAAAAGACTATGACCTGAATCAGCTGTAGTAATTTGGTATAGCCGTTGACAACCAACTTTGCCAATCGAAATGTCTTTTGATTTATTTCTTGCTGGTGCCAAGGGTGTTAATTGTGGGTCTAAGTAAGATGAAGTTGTTGACACTTTCAGTCTTTTCTTTATTTCTCTATTATGATGTTGCCTATAAGCCCACTGGTGAGGACTTTTGCATTCTTGATGTTGAGATGTAATTCATATTGTAGGCTGTAGTCTTGGAACTTCTTTAACAAGCACTTCATGTCCTCACTTTTAGGGAATAAAGTCATGTCAGCTGTATAACACAAGTTGTTGATGAATCTTCCTCCTATACTGGTGCCACATTTTTCTTCATAGGGTCCAGCTTCCCAAATGATTTGTTCAGAATATAGATTTAATTGGTATGGATAAAGGATGATACAGCCTTTCTTGATTTGAAAATATACCATGTTCCTTTGCTCTATTCACATAAAACAACTTCTTGGTCTAGGTATGACCACGATACACTGAAGGCATTGGCAAAAAAATAATCACTGGGATACCAATTGACATGTCTCAACTAATGGATGTAACCCTGGACATGCTTACCAATGTGTGCCAAGAAATTTGGAAGACAGCTACCTGACCAACTGACTGTAAGAGACCCATATTTATTCCAACTCCCAATGAAAGTGATATAATAGGATGTGGAAATTATTGAACAATATAATTAATATTATAAGCAAAATACTACTGAAAATCATACAAAATAGCTAGAATATTACATTGACAGAGAACTGTATAAGAAGTTCAAGAAGCATTTAGAAGAGGCTTTGGCACCAGGGATATCATCGCTGTCAGCTGGATCTCGGTAGAAAGCAGAGAGTACCAGGAGAATGTCTGTATTTGTTTTACTGACTATCCGAAGACATTTGACTGTATTGATTGTACACTGTGTGGATGATAAGAAACTATGCTTAACATTGAGAAGATTGGGAATCCCAGAACATTTAGTCACACACATAGAAACCAATCAATGAAATAGTGTGGAAATACTCTTGAGCCAGATAAACCTGAATTAAGTTTTTTTAATTAAATTTTTTATCTTGCCACTCACATGCTGTCTGGTCTTAGATAAGAAAGCACTTGTTGTTGTTGATTGCCTTCAAGTTGAACACGCCTTTCTATGGACACTGATCAAAGTTCATAGTTTCCAGAGGCATGTTGTTTAGGAATTGGGTGCCACTCCTGCTTCCAAAAGAAAGTACTTACTGGATGTTAAATTTTGTCATTTGTAGAGAGAGAATGAGAATAGTTATGTCATAGGTGTGTTGTGAAGATTAAATACAAGCACCAAGTATAGTGCCTGGGACAAGGCAAGTATTTTATAAATTGTAGCCATCATTGTTATATCAAAACACTAATTTATAGTTTGGAAAGATTCTTTTTAAAATACTCATTTTTCAGTTATTGGTTTCAGAATATTCTGAAAAATATTCATTTTTCAGAACATACACAGTGAAACATACCAATTTAATAGTTTCTACAAGTACTATTTAGTGATATTCTTTACATTTTATACTGATATTCTTTTTTGAGTTGTTCTTTCTCTGTTAAGAAATGCCTACTGTCTTCTAAACTTCATCTTTTGAATTACTGTAGTCAATATGAGCTCCTAAAGGTAGTTTTTACAGGATTTTTTAAAAATTATTAATCAAATAAAGCTTTAAAAAGAGGAATGTGAAAAAAAAAAAAGAGGAATGTGAACAACTCTTTCCTTGACTATTATGGTTAAAAGAGAAAAAGAATATGACAACTTGTGTGTATTCATTGTGAAATATTTATAACTATTTATTGCAAATGTGATGGGGACTACAGCTTCATTAATAAAATATTTCATAAGTGCCAAAATGTGATGTATTTCAAACTCACTGCCATCAAGTCAGTTCCAATACTCAGAGACCGTCCTCTGAGCATGTAATTTTGTTCCTTGGAGCTTCTGGCAAAAATTAACCACTGGAGACAGACAGCCTGCAACTCGAGACCATGAGACCAGCAGAGCAACAGTCCTAAATCTAAGAATCTGACACTGTTTGCTGACACTAGAGGCTTCCTAAATCCCACCCGTTGGCCCTACTTGGAGTTAAATGTGTATATCTCTTTACTTAGCCTAATAATAATATGTCAGAAACAATAATATTAGCAGGGTTTAGGGCTGTTATGCTTAGGGTTGCTATAAATCACAGGTGACTCAATAGCACACAACAACAACAAAAAATATAATAAATTTGTTTCTTCTGCTTTCTCAATAGAATTTGTCTTCTTGCCTACTTCAAGAGCACTGAACTAGCTCTCTTTTGTATTTTCTAATGATCTCATAAATGACTGATGATCTGGAAGTGATTGTGGCTTCTTACTCCATTATGTGCTTTAATGACGACTAAATGTGCGTATGTGTATAATTTTTTTTTCTGAGCCTTCTCTCCAATACCCCAAGAATATGTCTTCCAATTTGAATAAAAGGTATACCCACAATGTATAAATGAGTGTGTTCAAACTTGCCAGGGGTCAAGATTGGTGGAAGATCCATCAACAATCTGTGATATGCAGATGATACAACCCTGCTTGCTGAAACTGAGGAGGACCTGAAGCGCTTGCTGCTGAGAGTCAAAGACTGCAGCCTCTAATATGGATTGAGGCTCAACGTCAAGAAGACAAAGATTTTCACCACTGGACCAATTAGCAGCATCAGGATGGATGGTGAAGAGATTGAAATTGTTCACAGCTTCAGTTTGCTACGCTCCACAGTCAACACCCTCAGCACCAGTAGCCAGGAAATTAGAAGACGTATTGCCATGGGAAAGTCTACTGTTAGGGACCTCTCCAAAGTACTGAAGAGCAATGGTGTCTCTTTGGAGACTAAGGTGTGTCTGATACAGGCCATGGTCTTTGCTATCACTTGTTATGCATCAGAGAGTTGGACAATGACTAAGGAGGATAGAAGGAGAATTGATGCCTTTGAGCTGTGGTGCTGGAGAAGAGTATTGAGAATACCATGGACTGCTAGGAAAACAAACAGATTTGTCCTGGAAAGGGTTTAACCGGGATGCTCCTCAGAGGCAATGATTCTGAGGCTCTGTCTAACATACTTTGGACATGTTGCAAGGAGGGGCAGGTCCTTGGAGAGGGACATCATGCTTGGTAGGGCGGAGGGACAGCGCAGAAGGGGAAGACCTCCTATGAGGTGGATTGATTCAGTGACTGGGGTAATAGGGGTGGGTGTATCAGAGATGGTGTGATTGGCACAGGACAGAGCAGAGTTTAGGGATGTTAGAGTTAGGATGACTCATAGGGTCGCTATGAGTCGCAAGCGACTCGATGGCACATAACAACAACAACAACATACCAAAATAATTTGTTTCAACCCTGATTGCCAAGAAAGTACTAATTGCAATTATTCATTTTAAAGAAAACTTCATCAAGCATCAAAAGGTTGATATTTTTAAAAGTTTTTTTAGTAGCACTTTCTCTTTATGACAGAAGGGGCGGCCACATCGACACCCTCCTTCATACCAAAGGGTGCGAAATAGCCAGAGCCTCCACTCCACCGAGTGCCCCTAGGAACGCCCAGCTGCCCTGAGGTCAAGCAAGGAAAATGCATTAAATAAATAAACAAACTCCAAAGAGCCAAAGTGTCAACTTACGGATTGTTTTTAAAGCTTACATTTATTAGCCACCTTTGTGGTAAATAATGAATTATGAATCCTGCAGGGCAGCGTACTTAAATGACAAATGTAAAAAAATAGAGACTTGACTCTGTGCAACGATTGTTATACTCTATAGTAATTGTCTTAATTTCAAAACCTTGCAATTGCAAATCGGACCTTTATGCATTTTTCTAAGAACATCGGAAAGGGCATGTGTGGCCTGTCCCTGGCTGTTGGCCACGGTCACCACCATGCACCTCAGAAGCAGAGAGGTGTGCGTGGCCTGCTGTGTACAGATGCCCTCACTGCTTCTAGGAACGAGTCTAAATGGTCTTTGACGATTGGCCAGGATCAAGTGCTATTGCAAACAAAGCCAGTAGAATGTTTGGACTTGTTTTGAGGAATAACCGGTTGAGAAGCGAAGTGCAGTCTATACACGCAGCCAGCCACGACTTTGGAGAAGCTGTAAATAGTGACATGTTTGGTGCATGGTTTTTGAGGAGGGCTTTGTGTCAGAAAGGAGGTTGTAACCTTTCCCCCCCACAGACCTGAGAGCTGTGCCTTTTCTATGCAATATTACAGATGTCACATCAGAACCCAGATGGCTGTATTTACATGGAGGTTTTGGGCTGTAATCTAAACAATTGGACAGATGAAATGTACATGGAAATGAGCAGTCTTACTTTTGTAGTTTTTTATTATACAATAAACAGTTAAAAGATGAAAAAAAAAAAGAAAACTTCAGTCATATGGAGGTCTGTTGGTGTAGTGTATAACTTATCAGGCTGCTAGCCAGAAGGCTGATAATTTGAAGCCACCAGCTGCTCCACAGGAGAAAGATAGTGAGTCTTCTCCTATTTCCAGCCTTAGGGACTCCCACAGAGGGCTGCTATGTGTTGGAAAAACTTGATGGCAGTGAGTTTTATTTCTGGTTTGATATGGGGGTGGGGAGAAAGAGAGAGAGAGAGAGAGAGATGGAGAGAGAGAGATAGGAAGAAATAGAGAGATATGGAGAGAGAGATCAGAGAGAAATGATAGCTAGAAAGATGGATAGATGATAGATAGATGATAGATAGATAGATAGATAGATAGATAGATAGATAGATAGATAGAAGGGGGCTGGGGGGAGAGGGAAGTGCAGAACCAACTGTCTTTTCCCCCTAAGCTGTTAAAAGTGTTACATAAAAGCTAAGAAACAGAATTTTCTTTTTCTCATAATATGGCTTACCTTTCTTGGCCCTGTGCTCTTAAGCTCGAACACATCCATTGTGTAATTGACTCTACGTCCATAGTGGTCAAACTGAACATTCCCTGTAAGCCCTTGAATTCGAACCTATGGGTAAAAAAGAAAACCCACACATGGACTAATTTGATATTTTACTTATAGAAATTTTAACTTCACCTGATCAGCTAATGACAACACAATTGTGAATACCAAACTATAAGTAGGGATAACCAAATCTCTACTAAAAGCTATGCAATATTTTAGTTTTTGGGATTTCTGAAAGATTTATGCACATTTATATAATAAATTATATAATAAATGCACATTTATTATCATTCTACTTTATGTCTGAGTGCTGATATGGCTTGTTTGCATTTTTATTTTCAAAGTTCTATTTTAAATAACAGAATTCTGCCTTAACGTTTTATTTATAGCCACAGAAATATGAATGGTTTGTTTATGGTTATTTTTTGTTTAGTCTACATCTCTACTTAATGAATCAAATAGTGCTGATACTCATATGATATCCTTTGTTAATGTTAAAACTAATATTTAGGAAGTTCATAAAATAATAATACATCTGAAAAATATTAAGTTTTACTTCAAATCTTGTTTTAATCCACTTTTACTTATATTTTGAACCCCTATCATCTCATATATTTTTAAAATGTAATATTAAAATAATTTTTATTGTATTAATTATTTGAACACTAGTACTAACATAATTTTAAGTGATTAAAACAAACAAATCACTTAATTCAAGTCAGTAAGATAATTCAGAGTGCTCTTCGCATGTTTGCCAAGTAATTCTGGTTCTCCTGCATTCTTAGCTCCAGGTAGGATTATACTTTTGGAATCCCTTGTGGTTAGCTATGGCCATGTGATGCTCAGATATCAAATGAGTCAATGGGTGTGACATATGTCACTACTGAGCCAGAGCAGTGGTCAGACGTGCTGCAAACACAAAGGGGCATGGTTCAAATTCGCCAGCTGCTGGAGCAGAATGGGCAATCTCCTCTAGTGCAATTTACTACCTCTGAAAACCTACTAGAGGGTCAGCTGTACTTCAGTTCCAACTGGACTGCACACAACAACAGCAACAACAATACAAACTCTCTATTCCTCTCCCAGCATTTAAGAAGGCGAGTGCTTTCATTTTGGTCACGTAGTTACTGCAGTAAATAGAATGGTCCCTGCTTACCTAGTGTGTGCGAGGGAGAAGTACGCTTGCTTTTAAAATAATTTTATTGTGGTTAATGTGAACAACATGATTAACTAGCTTCCCACTGAATAATTTCTACACCAATCGCCAAAGAGGTACTAGTTACATTTCCCACTTAATTCTCATTCATTCCACTGTGTTGGCACTATCTTCAGTATTTTTCTCCTGTTCTCTAGGCTTCCATCTTCTCTGAACTTTTTTGCTGTTTTAGACCACTGATATTAGACTTTTACTGCAGCATAAGCTACCTTATCTTGATTATGGGCTTATATATGATATAAACATCAGTAATCACTCTATAGTCTGTTTCAAAAATGAATAATATATTAAAATGGTAATCTATCTTATTATACATTATGTTACTCTGCATTCGCCACTTATGACAATGAGATAGTTTGAGTTGATAAAGTTCTGAACTACCTGTTTGAGTGTCCTCTCCATGTCAATTCCTTGACCCCACGGAGCTGCAGGGTTTGCCAGACAGTCTCCAGCATTTCCTCTCCTTGAAATATCAATTTTTTGCCTTCTAAGATTCCGGAAAGTTTCTGCCATCACGAGGACTCCATCATAAGTCAGAGCAGAGGTGTACTGAGAAAATAAAGCAATTAGAAAAGTAAAGGTTAAAACTTACCAGGCATCCTGGATGGTTGAGGTCTTTGTGGGTTTAAAACATAAAGCATCATTCTTTCTGTTTCATTGCTGTTTAGCCCAGCTGGACTGATAGTGACCCTGTATTGACCATAGAAATACCCAATGACCATAGAAATACCCAATTTCCAAGCCTGTCAATCTTTACAGAAGCAGATGGCCTTAACCTTCTTCTACTAAACATAACACCAACCTTTTTGATTAGAGGTCGACCTGCTATCTGCTTCATGACTGGGGTCTCTAGTCTTTGAAGGACAGTTAAATTACTGATAATGAATCGATTCTTAGAGTTTGCTGGTTTGGAGTGAGTTGCACTGCTAACCCCAAACCTGGGGATCTCTGGCAGCGTGACTCCACCCGCAGCAGCATAGACAGTATCCTCCTGCTACAATTTACAGTCTCAGGACTTGAAAGACCTTGAGTCACAGACAACGTAATAGCAGTGAGTTTGAGACTCTAGTGTTAGAAATATTTATTATTGTTTCATTAAAATAAAACTTCATGTTAAATCCTACCATTCTGATTTTAAAAGAAGAAAACATTCTGGAAAAAAAAAAATTAGGTCTTCTAATAAACATTTTCCTATCAGTTAGGGTTTCAAGGAGTAGCACACTCCAAAAGCATATTTTCCATGGAAATGGAAAAAGTTTGAGAAGAAAAAAACAACCCCCAAACAACAAACAACCTTAAAAGCTAGTTCATTGTGCTGTGGAAAAGAACAGACAGTGAAAGGAAAATATTGGTGATCAATTCACCCTCTTAATATATTTTGTCCAGATAATTTTCCCTTGTCTGATACATTTGTATGTTGGGCTAATGAGTAATTAAAAGAACAAATAGGAATATAATTTCATAAAGTAGACTTGGAAGAGCCAGGTCAGACGGATTTATCCAGAATCTCTACGCTTTGTACAATATAGTCCCAATCTGCCTTATATTCTGTGACAAGGGTTGAGCCCAGAAAGGTGGTTCTAAAATGTTCAGTAAGGCTCCCTGAAATTTAATGTGTACTTAGGGACGTGGTGGCTGTATGTTTCAGTCCCCCCAGGAGAATGAATGAGCGTGGTTAGAATTACTAAGAAATAACGCTGCTTTATTCAACACATGTGTATGCATTGGTCACTGTGCTAAGCAGGAATAAATACTTAGGCTCACTGATTTGTGTTCAGGAAGGTTAAGCCATTTCTCTAAATTTCCATTATAACCTGGGCAAAAGTGAAGATGTAAAGTGTAGACCATCTGCTCTGAATAATCACCCCATGCTTCTCTTTGAGGAAAGTCTGAGGCCTCAGAAGAAAGACATTAAGGTTAGGAGAGGAAGTAAAGAAAACCAGAGGGAAGAAAATGCAATTTGTTGAAGCGTGAAAGAAAAAGTACAGGGGGTAACTTTTGGGATATCTTAATTAGAAAATTCTTCAATTACTAGGTAATGGGGTACAATTTTCTTGATACAAGGCAGAGTCTCAACTACTAAGACAAACCAAGCCATGGCCAATTCAGTAGGATTAGAATATCCTAGGTAAGAGGTTGTGCTGCTAACAGGCAGAAATGGAGTGGGTGGCTTTGAGGGAGAGAGAAGGGGAGTCTCCTCTCAAGCACTTATAGCCTTGGCAAACCACTAGAAGGTCAACTATGAGTTGGCTGACTCTATTGCAATGTGTTTGAGTTTTGAGTTAAGCACGGAGCTCTGGTACATAGTCTGTAGAGAACTGTGCTACTAAGCCAAGGGCCATTCCTCTCTTGCCGTTCAAATCCACCAGTGATTTCAAGAGAGAAAGATGTGCGATCTCTTTTTATATCATTTACAGCCTAGGAAACCCAAAGGAATGTCAGCTATAAATTGGTTCCAACTTGAAGGCAGTGTTAGAAGTAATTTTGTGCTTTGGAGATAAAAAAAAGATCTTGATTTATTGCTTTCAAATAAAGAAAAATTTGAAATTCCAATTGTAGAGAGCAAAATTAGGCAACATTATCATTAGACATGTGGTTGTGTACCAAAGAGTCAGAACCGACTGATAACTGACCCTCTGGTGGGTTTTCAGAGTCAATTAAGGGCACATTCTTCTCACACAGAGCAGCTGGTGGACTAGAACTGGGTGCCTTCAGGATGGCAGCTCAGCTTCTTGCCACGCGGTCACCATCATAAGACATAGCAGCCAGTATTTCAGGGAAAAGAAAAAAACACACAAGCATATAAATTCTAATAAAGAATCTGTGTCTTACTAATAAAGACTTTATTGAAAGATTTAAGAGGGACATGCAAATGAAAAGCTTCATGGTACATTTCTCAAGGACATTGTGAAAAGGGCTGAAGGACAGGCATCTTTGCTCAGAATTGGGTTAGGTGGTTGAAGGAAATTTAAGTTGTTAATTTAATCAAGGTGCTATCTTCAACACAAATATGCTTCCTCTTCAGCCAGAACCAACACATCTTTGAGTATAAAAAGTGTTCCTGTCAGCTAAGGAGTGAATGGCAAGAAATAAAGTGAGATTTACCAAAGGCACTAAGGAAAAGAGAAAAATGCTTTGCTAGTATATCAGGATGAAGGTTACGAAAATAAAAAATGGTGCTCCTTTCTTAAAGAGGAAGAAGAAAGCTGAGAATGTTGGTACCAAAAGGCAAACGTACTTGCTGTGTTTGTAAAAATCCATCCATTTTAATGAAACAAGTGAACTAGAAAAAAAAGAGCGGGTATCACGCAGAGCAAAGAGCAGGACACAGCCAAGCAGACATTCAGCCAGAGTGACAAGGCCCCGGAATTGGGCAGGTCAGAGAGGTGACAGATGGGAAGGGACAGCAGGTTAAATTAGTTTTACTCTCTTTTGAAAGTTTTAATTCTTTCTCCCTTGGCTTTTTATGTTCTTGTCTAGGAAGCCATTTTCTGAGGCACACAACTTTCAGGTGTATCTAAAACACCATAGATACATCTAGAAAATACTTAATAGAAAAATATTCCATTTTGTGCCAGGCTAAAACTAGACCTTGATCTAGAGTGACTAGTGCTCTGAAAGATGGAGAGAGTTCTGTTTGCAGAGTTTGTAACTGGTAAGTTGGAAAAGGGAAGAAAAATAGCACAGGGGAAAGTCAAAGGGCTTTGACAAGAAGGGCTCAGGTTCAGTATTTGCTTTTCATTGGCTCAAGAGCTGATGGAGTGTATTGTTTCAGCTAAGGGAAACACATCAGAATGAAATAAAAAGACACAAAACAATAAGGAATGTCTTCTGTAAGAGTTGTGAGGTTGAAATTGTGTGTTATCTGTGAGTTCTCCAGAAAAGGAGCTAGACATTGGCTAGGAATAATGCAACTAAAAAAAAAAAATAGAAAAAGATAGTTACCCAAGGAGTTTATAGGAGTAAACCCAAAAGAATACCACATAATCTGTAAAATCAGAAAGTTATATTTTAATATCATCAGACAGTGGGCATTCACTTCATTAGGGAATTGTGTAGGATAGTGAAGACAGTATGGTCAGCAAAAGTCCATCATCTGGGGTAGAGTGAGGGGGGATTAAAATAATTGATAAGGTCAAATAAAAATTTTATACTCAAGAAATGAAGATTTGAGACTCTCTCCTCCCAGATCTTAGAACTTTTAGGTTTGCATTTCCAAATTGTCCTTTGAAAATTTCTTGCTCTAAAACATTGGCAATGAAAGATTAGGAACTGCTTTTTGCTAATGACCTAAGGTTAACAAAAGTCTATGCTGATGCTTAATAAACATGCATTATTTATATTTTTTAAAGAAAATAATTTTATTTTCAGAAATCTACCAATTTCCTTTGCAAATATTAATAGCACTACCTGTCAGAAATGTCGTCAAGACTGTCTGCTGGGCAGTCTGCAATGTCTGTCAGAAAAACTGAGCTGTCTGACCTTGTACTATGACCTTGAAAAAAAATACATTTTATAGTCGCTTGTACCAATTTAGCCACTTACTTTACAAATCGCCTTGCAAATATAGCTATTGTCTGAATGGAAAAGTTACCTGTGTCTGTTCTTATTTGAAATATTGAGTTAAACAAAAAACTAATAGAGCTTAAAATGTCTTCTAGGAAATTTCCATGCAAAATAAGAAGAGTAAATGACATGAACTGATTTCCAACAACTCTAAAGGACATAAATTTAGAACTTATTAAGTGTTTTTGCAGTACAGTCATAGTTAAAAAATTATTGTCTCCAATGCCAAAGTAGTATCTGAATGGAAAAATTGCATACTGTAGTCCTACCTTAAAATTAAATTAAGACTACATAAAATAAAATTACCAAACAAACAACCAAATACCTTTGGTGGAGTTTCAGATCCCGGATACTCTCTTTGATCTAGTTTCTTCCAGCGATCCATTAGCTTGGTTACCATAGGTGTATTAAAATCTACCAACTGGAATCCTGTAACGTTGGCACCACCATGTATAAACCTCTCCAGGGAAATATCCTTGAAACCCTGTTTAAAAAATATGACACTATATTAAGTTTGCTTCATTAAATACACTTCAGTTCTTTAATGTTAACATAAATTAATAATCAGTATGGGAATTTTAATAGATTTCTATTAAAGTAATGGCCAGAAAGAGGTGAAATCCGATTAGGCCAATTTAGCTATTACATTCTACTACTGAAAATTCAATATATGAAACAGATTTAAGTGTTTCCAGTTCAGGTGAACTCAATTTCACATGCATTTCCCAAGTGTTTTTTGTGAACGCAAAGTTATTGCCATTGAGTTGGAATGGATTCACAATTGACACTCCAGTGGGCTTTCAGAGCCTCTAAATTGCAAAGGATGAGACTGCCCATCTTTCTCCCATGGAGTAGCTGGTGGATTTGAAGCACCTGCCTTTAAATTGATAACCTAATTCCTTATCCACTAAGCCACCTGACCTGTGAGCTAGAGGAAGAGAAAATATAAGAGACAAATATAATAGCATTAACAAGTCTGTTGAGGACATAACTGTTTTACTAGCATGACTAAAACAAACAAACAAAACAAAACAAAATAACACCCAACTAATTGCCCTTACATCAGAGCCCTCTAGTATAGATATGTAGATGTTCATATTATTTGAAGGTAACAAATATTAAGAGATGGTTCAAACCATTTTTGAGGTTTCAGTTTAATTATATCATGATCTAAAGGCAGACAAAACTGGTAATGTAATCCAGACAGGACAAAAGCTTTCATTACATCTGTTGAAAAATCCTCCTCCTAGTGCAAAATGGAGGGCACCCTGGTGGTGTAGAGAGCTCTGGTGGTTTAGTGATAAGGAGATGAATTGTCAATCCAAAGGCACATGGTTTGAATCCACCAGTTGCTCTGTGAGAGAAAGATGGACCATCTCCTCCTGTGTGATTTACTGCCTCTGAAAATCTGTTAGAGGATGAGCTGTGAGTTGGTTCAGACCCAACAGTATACCAAAAAACCAAAACAAATTAGTGACCTAGTAAGAAAAGGGTTGTGCTACCAACCCCAAAGGTAGGTGGTTCAAATTCACCAGATGCTCTGCAGAAGAAAAATGGACAACCTCCTGTGTGATTTACAGACTCTGAAAAACCACTGGAATGTAAACTGTGAGTCAAGTTTTGACTTGATGGCACATGATAACAACAAACACAGTGTAAAATGGTAATATAAGGGAATTTGTTATTGTTATGGGCCATTGAGTAGACAAGGACTCAGAAGAGAGGTAGGTAAACCTTTCTGTTATTGGTGTATAGGAAGCCAAGAAAGTGAATAAATTTCTGGGTTATGAAGGTTTCAAAAATTCTGGAAGCATGCAGTTACTTGCTATGTATCAGAAAACTGGACAATGATTAGGGATAATAGAAAGGGAATTGATGCCTTTGAGCTGTAGTGCTGGAGAAGAGTATTGAATATACCATGGTCTGCTAGGAGAACAAACAAGTTCATCTTGGAGAGGGTGAAGCCAGACTGCTCCTTGGAGTCAAGGATTCTGAAGCTTCGACTGACATACTTTGGACATGTTGCAAGGTAGGATCAGTCCTTGGAGAGAGCTTGGGAGGGTGGAGGTACAGCGCAGGAGAGGAAGACCCTTGATGAGATGGATTGATTCAGTCACTGGGATAATGGGGATAGGTGTGTCGGAGACAATAAGATTGGCAAGGGATAGAACAGGGTTTAGGGCTGTTGTACATAGGGTTGCTATGAGTTGCAGGTGATTTGATGGCACACAACAACAACAAAAACAACAACTAAGTTTATTTTGTACAAGGCTTATTTGTTCCAATAAGTATTTAAATATGCCTTTCAAAAATACATGTACACAATATAAAACATAAAACCCTTCCAAGAAGAAAGCAAAGGTATATAAAAATTATTTAATATAGTCTGCATATTGGATTGTTAACTGAAAGTTTAGTGCTTCAAATCCATCAGCCGCTCTGTGGGGAAAAGATGAGGCAATCTCCTACTGCTAAGATTTAATCCTGGTAACGTGATGATGGTCTTCAGGAGTCAGAATTTACTGAGTGGTAATGAGTTTGGATTTGAGCTAAGGTATTGCCTCAAAGAAAAGTAGACATAAACACACATATATGTTCTTAGCATCTGTAGTTGATTTATTTTATTTTTCCTATTAGTACTTAGAAAAATTCTTTGGAAAATGTGAATTATGATCAATTGTGGAGAAGAATGAAGGCAAAGTAGTGTTCTCATTTGTATTGTTGATTTTTGGTAGAAGTACAATGTATAATTGCAACTTTGCTTATTAGAGTTGGGATGAATGAAGGAACCAGGGAGATGAGGAAGACTTGGCGTTGATCATACGCTTTAATGCATGTTCAACCATGATTTTGTTCTTCTGTGTTTAATTATATTGAAATATAAAAATATTATATTCCTTGGCAATATATAGACATTACTGTCTTTGTTGTCAATGAAGAAATAAATCCATCTATTTGGCAACTAGGGAAAAGCGCTTGATGTTGGTAGGTGCCATTGAGTTGAACCTGACTCATAGCTGCCCTTTCAACAACAGATCTGAATCTTCTTCTGTTCTGACCATTCTCATGCCCTCTGACATGCCCAAGCTCATTGTTACAGTCATGTGTCAATCCATTTTGTTGAAGGTCTTCATCTATTTTTCTGATCCTCCACCTTTCTCCGTGTCATGACTTTTTCCAAGGCCTGGCCCTTTCTGATAACATGCCCCAAGTATATGAAATAAAGTTTCATGATCCCTGCTTCTAAGGAGTACCCTGGATACACTTCTAAGACAGACTTGTGTGTTTCCTTGATAATCTATGGCACATTCAATATTTTTCTCTAATACTGCAACTCAAAGGCATCATTTCTTCTTTGGTTTTTCTTATTCATTGCCCAACTTTCAGATGAATAGGGAGCAATTGTAGAGACCATGACTTGAATCAAGTGCATCTTATTTTTCTAACTGATATCCTTGTTTTTCAGTACTTCGGAGAGGTTCTTGACATCAAATGTTCCCAGTGCAATGTGTCTATCTTTTAATTTTTAACTGTTTCTTTCACGTATGTTGTTTGTGGATCCAAGTAGAATGAAATTGTTGACAACTTCAATTTTTTCTCCATCATCATGATGTTGTCCATTGATTCAGCGGTAAGGATTTTTGTTTTCTTGATGCTGAGATGTAATCCATCTCAACTTTTATCCATTGAAGTCTTTGATCTTCTACAGTTAGCGCTTCATGTTCTCATCATTTTATGTAAGTAAGATTATATCATGTACATAACACAGGTTGTTAATGAGTCTACAATTCTGATGTCACATTCTTCATTTAGAATAGGTAAGCTGGGTGTATTTCATGCCAGGAGCTGTGCAGTGTACATCACATAGAATGCAGATCAGCCTTCAAACTCAAACTCAATGCTATTCAGTCAGAATTGACTCCTGGTTGACCTTCCAGCAGGTTTTCAAGAGGCTGTAAATCACACTAGAAGCGTGAGCTTTGGGTAAGCATCACAGCTCCCTATGGACCAGGCCACAGGATAGATCCTCTTATTAAGGATGATCTAGCAAATTTTGGAAGAAGATCCAGTATTCCAATGAGATAAACTGTGTGTTGAGTTCACTTTTTAAATATCTTAGTTATAGGGTTGCTGTGAGTTGGAGTCAATCCAAAGGTACACCTCTATGTTGTATATTCCTATACAAACTTGTTTTTAATATTGTCAATCAAGGTGATACTGTGAATAAAGCCTGGACTTAGAACTTCACCACTATATATTCTGGCTTCAGGTTTCCTACATGTAAAATAAAAAAAAAAATCCTAAAGCTGTCTAACACATTTAGTTGTAATTCTGCAAATGACAGCTATTATTAATTAACTCACTCAAGAGATATTTATTCCTAGCCTATTAGGTGTCAGCTAATTTGACAGCTCATCAGTAACATTCTCATTTCATTGAGAAAGAAATCAGACACCAGAAAGCAAATCTGTGTTTGTGAAATGAGCAAAGTATTGTCCATCAATCTCCAGCTGATAAAATGTCAGCTGAACATTTGTTTGCTCTTACCAGTCTAAGGCCAACCCACAGGCTGGCAAAAAAATTCCAGTGTTTTTTAAAAGCCACATTGATTCAACATTGCATTAATTGCTAATTGATGACATTTTTATTTTCTTTCATCAGTGGCTGAAAGCAAGGCCCTGCCAAGCCTTGTTTCACAGTGTTATCACGCAGCAGCTGCAAGGCACACAGACAAGAGACGCGGCCTTCAGAAAAATCATCTCATGAAAAGTCTAATTGAAAAATCATACCCTACACTTCTATGGTTCTATCCTGATGCTAGCTTGAAGGTTAAACTAGAAGAAGAAAGGTTAAATCTGACTAAAATCCTCTTTCCCTTATGCTGTGAATGAATGGCAAGTGGCTCTGTTAATTTTAGCGATTTCTATTTAAGTACAGGAAGTACATTTCTTTTCACATATTTTCTTAATATTTTATGTTGGAAATGGATAGATTTTTAGACGGTAAGGAAGTTTCCTTGGAAACCGTTACTCAATGGCCATTTAGATTTAGTTTTTACTCAGAAAATACTGAGTATCCGAGAGTTCTGGGGCAGCTTTTCAATACAATTGAATTGGCATGATTGTTAGCTGCCATCAAGTTGATTCTGACTCGTGACTATTTATTTATGCAATGAAGGACTACTCCACAGGGTTTTAAAGGCTGTAACCTTTCAGAAGCAGATGACTCAGCCTGTCTTTGGAGACACCTCTCAGCAGGTCTGACCCATCAAACTTTAGGCTAGTTGTTCAGGGCTTAGCTATTCAAACTACTCAAAGAAATCAGTTCTTAGGTGCCACTGGATTGACTCCAACTCGCAGCAACTCTGTAACTAAGATTAAAAGCCTGTTCTACCTGCTCCATATTCATAATCTCCACTGTGATCAAGCCCATTGTTGCAGTCACTGTGTCAAGTCTCTCTTGTTGAGGGTCTTACTTTCTACT